GGAGCGCCCTTGGAGCACCCACCAGGAAGGAAAGACTGTTGGACTCACTGGACAGGATCTTCCGGCAGTTGTAGCAGTCGTGCATGGGGGAGTTGCATTGATTCGCGTTCGCCTGGGCCACCATCGCCAGCTCTGGGTTCCACGTCTAAGAAATAGGGCTCTTTTCCGTCCAAAGTTCTCTCGTTTCGTTCGCTCGCTATGATACGGTTTTTCTAGTTTTTTTTTTCCATTTCATCGTCTTCCCTTCATTTTGACTGTTGGTTTTTATTTTAATTCTCATTTCATTGGGTCTCACGATCGACGAAACCGTTCGCCGCACGACCTTTCAGTAAGATAGCCTCGTCTCTCTTCGGCCTCGTCGGTGAAATAAAGTGTTCGAGCGAAAAAGAAACCCCCGAAAAAAATTGAATTCGATCGGAATCCCCTCCCCTCCCGTCAGAAAGCCATACCATCTCGCACATGTTGGCAGCAGACGGCTGCGCCCCCGCGCTGCCCCGAGGCTCCTGCCCCACCGCCACCCTCCGCCTCACGTTGTTATGCTCCGCGAGGATGGCATCCCGCTCCTCCACGGTCACGCCGTCCCTGACGACCTTGCAGTCGTCGGGCGGCCGGCACACGGAGTGCGTCTCGCCTTTTCCCACCAGGCCCTTGTACTTGTCGCACTGGCCCTCGGTGTCCTTGGCTCGCACAGCCCACGTCTCCGGGCGGCGGGTCGTCGTTGGGGAGGTCGTCGTGTTCAAAATCTCCACTTCCGGTACGTTCACTGCAAGTCCATTTTCATTCTTTTTTTATTCCTCTTTCTTTCATGACTCGTACGTTTTAATTTTATTCATGTTATGCGATGTTTAAAAAAAAATTCGTTCACATTCGTGCATTCACCTTTATACATCCTACGCTCTCATTTCCTCACGAATTACCAGCTCATCGACATACTGTGAACAGATCTTCTCAGTCATGAAGTTGAATCATGTCCCGTTGAAAAACATAATGACTGATGCGATCTAAGTGCAAGCTTCGCGTTTCTCATATATATTGCATCTAATAAATAAGACCTGGAGAGATAATTTCGCCTGTTGCCTCTGTCTTCATAATCCATACGTGAAGGTTCATATTAGAGTGGCCCCTAAGAAGAAAATCATTGTTCGTGTGGCCCGCAAGCTCAGAAAGTTTGGGCCCTCCAGATCAAAAATTCAATCAGAATCAGACAAAATCAGAAAATCGAGACAAGTTTATCTTGACTTCTTCAGAGAAGACAGATTCTACTGGGTTAAGAGGAAAATTGATACGCTCATAAAGGTGCTCACAATATTCGTCACTCATAAGCAAATATCGGGATATGTCCATGATGAATAAGACCTCAATCACATCTCGGACAAGAAGGGATTCAACTATCTCGGAGGTAGGGACCCAAACCCAAGCTCCAAGCACGAAACATCAGACTATCGCAGTAAGCAAAAAAAAGGCAAAGAAAAAAGTAAGGAAGCAAAAAAGGAAAAAGCAAGAGGGAAGTCAACTCATTATTGGCTTAGCCTTTGTGCTTCCTCCACCGCGTTCACTTCTCGTATTAGTTCCGATCTCATCTTTTATTTTTTATTTTTTAAAATTATTGTTGAATCCATTTTCATCGATACATGTGTATTGTTTAATAAGTGATTCCAACAAACCATATGTGAAGTGCATTATGTGGGATGTGATACATAATGAAGAACCCTTAAATCCATTTTGAAATCTCAAAACACTTGTATGAGATCTTCATTTTGTCTTCTTTAACAGTTCTTCCTCGTTCTCGTCCTTGTTCTCATCCTTGTGCTCGCCATTTTTCTTGTCCAAGGGCAATTCCACGCTACAGTCAACCTTGAAGCCAAAATAAAAACGCGTAAATATAGTATACTATGAGCATAAACTGAAATATAGGCATAAACGGCATGTGATTGTACAACTATAGTGCTAAAATAGTCATTCAGACAGAAAATGTGGATTATCTAAAGTGTCACTCCTAGGATCTGCTCATTTTATTCAAAATTGCTTTTACAATGCAACTTTTTGCGGATTACAACCGAACTACCAGTAATAAATCGATAATAAAAAAGGTCTCGATCTATGAGGTACACAATGATCGGATATGATTTAGCACAGTCACATGCATCTTTCTCTCATGCATTTGAATAGCCAGGCTTAAGGTAGAATACTGGGAAGATGTTATGTTAGTCACACAAAATGAATAACTTTCCATCTATGCCATCACTGAGGGGCAGATATTCATGTAAGTTACATTTTCTCAGACCCCAGGTCCTACTCCTGGATAATTCGCCTTCTTGATGGGATGCTGTCTAGGTTTGTGAAAGGTGACTAACATAAGATTCTGCTTCATGACTAACGTAACATGATAGTGTAACTAACATTATCAATCAATAAACCTCTTTAGTCCTATGCATCATCAGGTAAAGGGTTTTTGCGAATGTACCTCAAATCTATCCAGGTATTATTTAAAGCAATGTAACTTATGGCGAAGAGAGCAGCTGAAAGGAATAGTGAAAGTAGAGCATGGAGTAGCCAAGAAAAGTGGAATCCACTACCGAAATTAACGTTACAAGGCAATGTAGGCCTCGCCGGCATATTAAGAGTTGTGATGGCATTATTGTTGATGGCCAAGTCAGAAATATGCCTATACTAGCTAGTTTGTTTGCCTTCGGCCAATTATGGTTGGTTTGGTCGCGCATTTGGCGCTCTATTATCTAGGATACTGATTAATTCATTTGAAGTATCCGTTTTGATCAATCTGATAAAACTCTTGAGGTAATAGGCATATTTATTGTTTTTTCAAGTTTCTTCCCGTTATGTGACGTTCATTGAAGATTAAAAAACGGAGATCTTTAGCTTCCTAAAATAGTATTACTGATAGGTACGTCTATACGGTATTTTAGCTATCTATACCTGCTCTAATGAAAATATAAATGTGCTGCATGAAAATATTTATACAGCGTGGAAATGGAGCTAAAAAACCAGGAATTTCCTTGGAATAATCTTTCAAATATTATTCCATTCAAATTCAAAATAATCTTAACGAAATTCCAGTTTTCTGTATCTGCCTCACTACTGGAATACAACTTTTCATGGAAAATGTCTCCCCAAAAAATATTCCCCGATAGGAAACATCTTGAGAGGTCCTCTTTAAATATGCATCTGGACAAGTAACTTTGTGCCTGAGTTTCACTTTCTGCCTCTCCGTTTCGTGGGAGCGAAAATGATCGGGAATACCTATGTTAAAAAGAAATAACGTTCCTGTGGGTATGTACCTGAAATATTGAAATTTTCTTAATATAAGAGCCCCAAGAACTGCAAGATTACCAAATATCAGCTATTTTTCCACTTTGAAGCCTCTTGCTGAGAAAATGTCTTTGGTAGAAAATTCTCTTGAAAAAAAGTCATTCGGGATAACCCTTACAATTAATGACGTTATTATTGGTATCGAAAGAAACACTTGTGTCCCAAATTTCAGCTTTCAATAAATACGGTTTTTGAAATGGCAAAAACTAATTAAAGTACGTCCCCGTCGAAATATGTGCCAAGAGGAGACGTAACGTAGATTTTTATTGAAATCATTAATCCGATGATTTCTTGTGTCCTTAACTTCAAATCTCTTCTTATGCCCCCATTTGTCAGAGCGAAAAATAAATCTTGAAATGCTTCACTCCAGTAATCCTCTCTGATGGGACATGTGTCAAAAGTAGGACTTTTTCTGTATTTAGCAATCTAACATCATCATGTCTTCAAAATCGACTGCATACAATCAGATTGACAACTCACCAAAAATGATAGCTTTGTTTTATTTGGCCCGCCCTATGTATTGCCTGGATAAATTGAAAAGTGGTCACTTTGTTAGTTTTGTTTTAAATGGTCTATTAAATGTATGTTTGTGCTTTGTTTAACCGAATTTTGTGTGTTCTTTGCAGGTTTAAGAGCATAGATTTTAAAAACTTCAGGATAGAGACAGCAGTTAAAATAAATATGGCTTTCCATGTAGCAATTCCGTCCGACGAAGTTATGAAACGAGTGATTCAATTCCTCCCACTCCAGCTTGTGCAATCCATTTTCGAATATTTGGAATTTATGGGGTCGAATGTTTCTGAAAGAAGTGCAACAATCAAATAGTGTAAGAGGTTTCGTTCTGATGTGCAAAAGTGCTTTTGACCTCATTATTTGATAGGCAGGGGCCGCTGCCAGTTCTGTGAACCAGGAGAGATTGTCAATGCTGATTATTATTCCTCATTGCTGAAAACTGACCTGAGGCAAGCATTGAGACATGAGCCTTCAGAAAATCTGACAAAATGGCGTTGTTCTGCACAACAATGCAAAACAACTTTTTGCTAGTGTGAATGGTAAGAACACCGCAGATATAGGTTGAGAGGTGTTGAACCACCTACCTTGAAGCCCGGATCTGTCACCGCGCGATTTCAGCATTTTTTGTCCCCTGAAATCTTTCAAGATTGCCATTTTCGAACGGACGCCAAAATGATGAAAACTGTTCAGGAATGACCACTAAATCGGCCCAAAAGAATTTTACAATTGGGCTTTTACTGATCTTGTGAAACGATGGGACAAGTGCCTTGTAAATCACGGAAGCTACTTTGAATAAAAGTTTGTTCTGCTAAATTTATCAGGAATTACCACTTTTCATTTGATCCACCCTAGTAGATAGGATTTCTCCATGCCATACGTCATGTTAAATATACAAGGTATATCGTCTCCGAAACAATTGAGATATATGTCAAGGCTAATGGCAGCAACAAAGGGACCTAGTAATTAAAATGCTCCAAGAGGGTGTAACGCAACGGGGATTCGCGCGTGATTCGGATGTGCACCTGTGGCCTATACCAGGTTTGATGCCAAAAATAAAATGAAAATGCCAAATTTAGTGCAAATTCGCCAAAAAACTAAGTCAGCTTGTAGTTAGTCTATGTATACCTGCTTCCCCGCCATGATCAGGCCAGTATTGTCTTAGTTATCGTCGGGCTATCAGAGTCTGAACACGGATAGACGGGCAGGACGAGATCATAAGTGGTCTCTTTCCTGTCAAGAGAGAAGACCCACGAAAAAAATTGAGCATCCCGACAACAATTAAAATTCTGTTTCATTTCATTATTTCTACTTCTTTCCGAAATAAACACTTAAACAATCCATCCAGACTTTTCTATCCCTTTTGTACGCACGAAAAGGATGAAGAATCGAAAACACAGGGTAAGGTAGGAGGCGAATAATGTGTGGAGATGCCGCGACTGTTACATGAAGTTAGTGAAATGTTATCAATTTCCATAATATTATTCTGCATTGTCCCTCATTAAATAACTTGCGGAAGTAAATGAGTCAAAATGTAGCCAAGACACCCAAACATTCAGGTTGAAGAATGAAACGATTAAAACGATCGCAAAGGAAGGACCGAAAAATGCAGACCTTTATGTCCCTTTCAGCAAAGAGATTTGACACCGCGACCAGGATGCGGTACATCCAGTTGAGTTGGAGTGCGTAGAGGAGGAAAAGCAGGAAGATGCCGACGAGCGCCCCGTTCACCGCCGTCTCCGTCTTCGGTATATAGTCTAAGTACTCCAACACGGCCCTGAGAAACGAAGCACATTTCAGCGTTTTAGAAGAAGTCTCGCTTACTTTAGGAGTAGGTTGTGGAAAAGACTAGAACGGACATGGTGCAGGTCAATTATTAGAATTCGGATGCAAGAACGCTAGAAGGCCCAAGGTTCAATGACATTCAGACTCAAATTTATCAAATATCTAATATATATAGACGATTGTGACTGACTGACTGACAGATGCTAATTCTAACCATGTTCTAGAGAAGTTAGAAACCTGAAACTTGGTACACGTGTACCTTTTGGAATGCAGAGTTCAGAAAAAAAATCAGACTTTGGAGGTACATGCCCTGGGGTTACACATTTTGGTGGGAGAAGTTTTTAAATATATATTGTGACGGATGAGGATGGCATTGATGTCCCGACATCGACAGGATGTCCTTGGTTCGGTGGTGTGGCGGAAGAACACCTGACCTGCAATCAGGAGCCCCGGGTTCAATTCCCGGCCGTTCTTTGGCTTTCTTTCGGCCTCTCATGCCTTCCAAGTCCCGTTACTCATTCCACCTCTGTAACAATTATTTGATTTGAGTAAAACGGAAGGACATGGAAAGCTGAAACTTGGCATGGACGATGAGTTCAGGAAAAATTTTTAACATTTATCCATACCCTGGGGGTATACTTTTTGGGGACGACGTTTTCAAGTAATTTCTTTTGTCCTGGCGTATTGAGGTGGTGTGGAAAGGTGAAACTTGGTACATAACTACCTATTGGGATGCTGCGTGAAGAAAAATTCAGATTTTTGAAGTAAATGCCCCAGGGGCACAAATTTCAAAGGGAAATGTTTTAAAATAATTTTTTTGCCTCAGTTAAACTGTTGAACATGGAAAGCTGAAACTTTGCATGAATGTGACTACTGAGACAAGGAGTTAAAGAAAAATGTTAAGTATCCATACATCACGCTAGGGGAATTTTTTTGAGGAGCGATGTTTCAAAAAAAGTTTTTGCCGCCGCGAAAAATTAGACAGAAATAGAAAGATGAAACGTGGCACACGTATAAGTCACATGATTTTATTGAGTTGAGGGAGTATTCAGCTTTTATGGTGCATCCCCTCCGGGCATAGCTTTTGGGTGGGTCGGCTTTTCCAAACATGTTTTTTCACCAGCGAAAAGTGCAAACGCATAAGGTTGAAACTTTGTGGACATGTAGTTCTCTGAGAATTGATTTCGAAAAAAAATGGTACTTTTCGGTTAAAACAGGTCAGGGCACATATTTTGCAAAAGGCGTATTTTCTCGAATTTTCTGATTCAGCAAAACCGAGGGCGCTAGAAAGTTTAAACTTGGCAAAGAAGAACCTGATGGGTAGCTGAGTAAAGAAAAAAATTTACTTTTATTGTGTATAGACGATCGTGGGACTGCCTGACATAAGTAGCTACTCACATGCTGAGTTCAGGAAAAATTCTACTTTGGTGATACATGCCATAGGGACATACCGTTTCGGAGAACGTATTTTCAAATAGTTCTCTTTGCTTCAATCAAACGAAGGCACATGGAAAGCTGAAACTTGGCAAGAACGTGACTGCTAACGCACTGAGCTCAGGAAAAATGTCAAATTTCCAAAATATTTTGGGGGGGATATTTCTTGGGGACGTTACGTTTTCAAAGAATTTTTCATATCCTAGAGAATCAGGCAGAAATAGAAAAGTAGCAGCTGGCGCACGCATAACGGACGTAATGTTGATTTAAGGAAAAATTCAACTTTTGTTGTGCGTCTCCTCAGAGCACAGCTTTTGGGCGGGTCGCATTTCCAAATAAATTTTTTACCGCCAGGAAAAGGGGAAACGTATGAGGCTGAAACTGTGTGGCATGGAGTTCCCTGAGTCTACACTTCAGAAGAAAAAAGAAATGTTTCATTAAAACCCATCAGGACACTTTTCTTAAAGTCCCATTTTCCTCAATTTTTTTTGATCCAACGAAATAGAGACAGAAAATTTAAAATTCCCTCGGAAGTACCTATTTTATAGCTGAGTACAGGAAAAATCCTACTTTTGAAATATGTCCTCTTAGCGTAGATTATAGGAGGGAAGTATTTCAAAATGTATTCACCACCCTTACAAAAAGGGACATATGAAAAGATTTAAAGTTGGGCACACTAGGAATCATAGAAGGAATGATTTTGACAAAAATCAATACTTTCGTCCCCATATGTCACGTATTTCAATAGGGACATACTTTAAATACGTGTTTCCCATTTCGCAAAGAATACATGAAGTAATCACTATCCAAGGTAATAGAGCGCCGAAGGCGCGACCTAGTACAGTATACTGTATAAACGATCGTGACTAACAGACGCTAATTCTAACCATGTTCTAGTTAGAAGTTAGAAATCTGAAACTTGGTACACAAATAGCTATAGGGATGCAGAATTCAGAAAAAAATCCAACTTCGGAGGTACGTGACCTGGAGACAATTTTCAGGGGGCTGATTTCGCAGGTCTAGGACTAACCCATGGATGCACTCTCTTCCTCAAAGGAAGCGGGATGGAAAACAAACAGCTGTTGGTTCGCATACTACAGATAATAGTTCGACATTGGAGGTACGTGCCCTGAAGGGACTGATTCAGTAGGCCCATATCTAGCCCTTGCCTGGACGCTCAGGCCTACATCGATCTCGACTCATTGGTTTAGAGGACCATTTCGGCCTATTCGAACGTAAAAATCGCTGCCTTAGCATGAGGCGCGAGGTCTTTACCCTAAGCCTTTCTAGGTTTTAGGCTAGGTAGAAGGACTTGGGTTGATGCGTACCGGTATGCTTGTGGATGCGAATTGGTTTCATATATTTTTGTAGCAGAGAAACGGGAAGCAAGATTTTACCTCGACTTTCCGATTTAGAGTGGTTATGTCCAATGCAGGACGCTTAGACTAAGCAGGAACGTAAATAGCCATAAACCGCCTTCATGTATGACGTGTTTTCTCTTGGACAGCTCTATATAGCATTAGTTAGAGTTAGAAAAAGGGATTCCATAAATGTAATTGTGCCTAAATATGGATATGAAGATAATGAAAGAACTCCCCATACAGTGAACGTAGTCTATGAAGAGTTATTGAGTGAAAACTCGATTGGCATCCGTGGCTTGGAACATGGCGGGCTCCTTGTTCTTCCGCTCCTCATTAAAAAAGTTTATTTCTTCTGTCTTCAACATCTTTACTTGAGTGAACCATCGAGGAGTGTTGTACTAGGACAATAGGCATATCCTTGATCCAGTGGAGAGTTGTCATAGGCCAGTTTCAGCACAGACCGACAAGATCTCGTGGGATCGGGACAGATAGGCCTAGGCCTGGACCTAAAGACTATTGTATCACTTCAGCAATCAAGAAAGGACATCCCAAATAACGACGTACTTCAGGCGAGCAGACCATAGTCCTGGAAGAACACGGGCTGCTAACACCGGTATGGCTCTCAATCATTGTATGGGGCCTAATTGCCTCTCTTCTCTCTGTGTGCACGACTTCGTTCCCAAGAGGGAGGTCCCTCGGTGAGGAAGAATGGGAACCAAGGCACTTCAAGCTCTGCACACCAAGCTTGAACTACATTGAGATACCTAGTGACCTGGCTCTGGAGGATCTTCTGTGGATAACTCTGTAATCTCTCATGCAGTCAGGGGACATTGAACCCAACCCAGGACCAAATGTCCCTCAACAGCGGTTAGATGATATTGCTAAACAGCTGAAAGAACTTGGTATGTTGCAGACCATTGAAGAGACTGTATGTGATATCAAAAGTGTGATTTCAGCTCTACAGGAAAGAGTTGAGATATTAGAAGAAGAAGTCAAGAAGCTCGAGGGAGAAGCCTCACAAGAGCGCTCACTGGAGAGAAGACTGCTACTGGTTCAGGAAAGAGAACGAACCAAGAATCTAATCATTCGAGGTCTATGGAAGACAACAGGAGAGACACGTGATCAGCTACAGCAGGAGGTGGCTTCCCTGGCATCACTAAAAGAAGGGGGAGCCACTGGGAACCCATCCGTGTGGGAAAAGAGGAGAGATGGTTTGGCCTTCTAGATCTAGGGGTGACAGCAGTTCAAAGATTACGAACTGCTACCTCCCCGCCTCTAGTGATGATCTCCTTTGCATCCACACAATTGAAACTAGACTTTATACAAGCAATGAAGCCCCATCTCCCCAAGGGTACCCGCCTGTCACCAGACTTACTACCCGGATATTTGACGGGCAAGGCGACTCTTGTCGCCCTTTTTTAAGCAAGCGAAAGATTCGGGGAAGACAGTGTCCATGCATCGAGACCTTCTGATGGTAGAATCAACCAAGTATAAATGGGACGAAGAAGCGCAGCGACCTATCACGGTAGATGGTGGGCACCCCTGGGACATTGGAGAACAATCGGGTAAAGCTTGGCAAAGCCTGGAGAATGGGGAAGAGAAGGAAATCGTTGAGGAGACTCTAGACCTAGAGTCCCTAGAGAGAGAGCCTGGCCAACTCCCGCACTGGGCGCCATTTTGATTCCTCGGCATTCAGTCTCCCAGTTCTTTCTCGCATAAATCCTTTCAATTCCCTGAAAACAGGCCCAGATCTGAATGCGCATATGCGTTACCAAATGATCAGATACACTCCCAAACATCACCGATCATAATCCATTGCTCTCAAATGCCTTTTTTGCACCTCGGCTGACATTTGAGGCATTCCTAATATACAAAAACTCCCAACATACTAGCGGATGACCAAAGCTAATCCCAGTATACATTCTGCTCAGCCAGTTGATCTCCATATATGCCATTCATCCACGGGGGAAGAGAAATAGAAGGGAAGTCGATGATAGCAAGTTAGTCGTTAGAAAATAAGCGCCAAAATGTTGATTGTAGGCCTACCAGTAATGCATCCAAACCCAAGCAGCATGTTTACGTAAACATGATATCAATTTTTTGCCAACAATGTAAATTTCTTGCGATTGTCATGAAAATGACATCACGTTTATGTAAAATTTACGTTCCTATATTTACGTCACCAAGTGTCCATGTATTTTACGTAAACTAGACGTCACTCCATCTGGCGTGAAGTACATAATATCAAGTTTTTGCAAAGTTAACATCACACTTTCCATATGAAACTTTAGCTGACCATCCCACAGTTGCAATACCAAGATTCCTCACTAGATGGAACCCTTGTTCCCTGCACCCTACAAATGCTATTAAGTACTGGGTTTTCCGATATAGTATCAGGTTTTCTTAACATCCTTTCACTTTTTATTATGCAATGCATGAATATATATATGGAAAGCAGGAAATTANTCACTAGATGGAACCCTTGTTCCCTGCACCCTACAAATGCTATTAAGTACTGGCTTTCCCGATATAGTGTCAGGTTTTCTTACCATCCTTTCACTTTTTATTATGCAATCCATGAATATATATATTGAAAGCAGGAAATTATTATATGTTTTTAATAATATATGACTCAGGGAATCATTAAATGCTGAAGCTAAGCTTGTTATTACAGCAGTGCACGGGATTAGGAAGAGTAGAATCCCAGCTCCACAAGTACTATACCTTCTCTATCCATCATGGTAAGAAAACTCCTCTAATCATTTACTTCTCCTCCCGAGGTTCTGGTACGGGAGGAGGAACTAGTGAGTCATCTTGGTACTCTTGAGTGTGGGTGAGGATGAGTATCTGTGTACTCGTCGATGTAACCTTGAGATCCAAAGTATGGAAAGGAGCGGGAGAAATACAGTGTATCAATTCTCTTCAAAAGTACGAATTAGCTCGTTAAATACGCATGAATGTTAGGGGGAATTTTACATCAATTTTACGTAAAATGAATGTAAACATGCTGTTGGGGATGTAAACGGGAATGTCAACTTTGCGTAAAATTTACGTAAATTTTATATCACCGTTTACGTATTCCAGAGGTGACATTTCTGCAAACATGTTGACATTATCTTGATGGTTTGCATAAAATGGATAAAAAGTTTACATTCAGTTTACGTAAAATTAACATAAATATGCTGCTTGGGTGCTTTCCTCCATCGTGTCGTTTTCTTTGTAATGGGGGAGAAAAAGGTTTTTAGCGCCCAGTGCAGGTGAAACTAGCTATCAGAACTTTCGACAGAACCCTTCAGAACCTTTTTCACTGTCGCTATCATCTGTAGCAATCGCTCGTCTTCCCTCTCGTCACTATCAAAACCATCAGCTTCTGATCTGTCGAGAAAATAAGCTACATCTGAATCTTTCAGGCCCGACAGTCCAAGTCTGGGCTTCCCAACCCAGGGGTCGCCAAGATCTTATTTATGGTCGCAAATCGGTAACTAAATGTCATGTAATGTTTTTTCTTTGCGATTTTGGCGCATAGGTGGGGGAGCCTGTCGAACTTCGGCCAATGCTTGGAGTCCCGAATGGTATGGTCGTGATTTTTGGCGTCGCCCGTGAAGAAGGTTGGGAAGCCCTGGTCAAAGTATTTTACTTGTATAGGCTATGCTTCGCAGACTGGAGAACTGGCGTTAAAACAGGCCCTGTTTTGGAACTATCGAAGTACTACCGAGCAGATTTCCCCGCCATACGTGAGATCCCAACCCGATCCCTATACGTGAGATAGCTGTCCGAACGACTATGGCGATTTACCCAGGGAAAACGAGCGACTGAAATGCCATGACAAGTACATTCATGTGCACCTAGAAAAAGTCATGCCATAAGAAGTATACCCAGTTAAGTGATTAATGACGCAAGGTTACGAAAATGATTCCGTTTAACGAAGGAAAGCGTTTTGTTCATCGATCCGACCTGACATTGGGAAATGACAACGCTACTGGAGTGCTTCTTCTTTTAAAAGTGCTCGTTGCTCTTCGCTTTTACGCGACGAACTCTTGTTATTCTTCTGCTGAAGAATAGTATCTACTATTTTCTGTCTGACCGTCAGCAACGGTTTACCTGCCTTACAAGCCGTGTTGACTAGATTGGTGATGGAGCGTGATTGGAATTCTGGCCTCGTTTCTTTCTCCCGCACCAACGAGTTTTATATAATTCAAGTGACTTACCTACGTCGGACACATAAGGTAGGAGCAGGAGTAGCCATTCCAGGAGTTGAACCATTCTTGCCTCTTTCCTATAAATAAATAAATAAAATTCAAAATAACGTACGGATCATTCACTAACTGCATAACTAAAGTCTATCTTAAACCCATGAGCTTGGTTTTCATTTGAATGACTTCCCGGCAGCAGCTCTAGAGGAGAGAATGGAATTCATTTACTTCCTTTAGCCCGAGAGAGGGGGGGTGCGACATCATAACGACTCTGCATTTGTCAACGATGAGTAAAAGGCTTTCCCTGCAATTGGGGCTGCAATGAGGATTAGCCACAACCTTGGAACGGATTCGTCTACCTCATTTCGCCATGAGAAGGGCATGTCATTTTGCAGTTGCGCAGAAGCAAGCTAACTGGGATTCCACATATATTCTCACCGTACCTACGACCTCTCTCACCTTTCTTGCAGGAAATTTCCA